ATGATTTCCTTAAATCGTTTATTTACTTATTTAGTGTGGTGAAAATTAGTAAAAATACTCCAATCCCAACCCCAACCCCAACTCATTCATCTCACTCTAAAACTCCTAAAACTCCTTTTTAGGGTTAATATGCTAGAGGTCCCTAGTTGGAAACATAATTAGATATGGGATACAACCATAATATTTTTTTCTGAACTAAGTCCATTTTACAAAAATAAATATGACCCACATCTTTTATTTTTTTTAATCCCGAATTTGCCCTCAACCTAAATCCATAAATCATTTATAACATTGTAGAAATGGTAATTAATTTTTGTTAGCAACAATTACGGAAATAAATATATTTATTGGAGTGGGATGGGGTGCCTCTTAATTAATTGATAAATTCCATATATAATTATGAACTTACCACAGTGTTAATAATTAACACTAGCAAGCAAATGTAATGCCAATTCCATTTCATAAAAGAACAAATCATTCGATTTTCTTTTTATGTTAATGATTTGTTTTGCCATCTTTAAAAAATAATTTTTTTTCTTCCCTAAACACACCTATAAAACCTTCCTACTACCTCATTCATCCACACCATGTGAATTCATTCACATCACGACTCAGTTTATATTTTTTTTTATCTTTCATTTTGTCCTTTTATTTTCGTTCTTTATATTCATGTTCATTTTTTACCCGGTCTTATACGGATGCATATATAAAGCACTATGGACGAGTCGTTTGATGTTACAAATGTATGTTTATGTGTTTTTCGTTTATCGAATATTTTTTGTTCTCATGTTTTATATACTTTTGTCTCATTCTCCCTATTGTTTAATGCTATCATTGTTTGTTTGTTTGTTTATTTACTTATTGCAGTGTTTATTGGTTGATTGATATAGCACAATCGAGCCATACGGTTTAACGTGTAATACTACTCATCAAGAGGACTTATTATCTGACATGTACAAGGATTTATTTAAATGTAACAATATATATTGCCTATTAAATTTTACCACAGACCGCAGTATATTCTTTGAAATTAATTCGGGTCGGGTCGGGTTATTCGGGTTATTCGGGTCGGGTTATTCGGGTTTTTTGCAAAAAAAATATTACCCGAACCCGACCCGAGATAACCGGGTACCCGGCAACCGGGTACCCGGTTATTTCGGGTCGGGTTCGGGTCGGGTTCGGGTTTTGCTATTTTTTTTCTTTTTTTTTTTTTCATTTTTGAAAAATAAATAGTAACTAAATTTACTTAATATATATATATATATATATATATATATATATATATATATATATATATATATATATATATAGACATACAGACATATATGTATATATATACAGACATACGTATTACAGAGATACAGACTATACATATATATAGACATATACATACTTATACTGCATTACATATACATATACTGATATATATATATATATATATATATATATATATATATATATATATATATATATATATATATATATCT